TTGATTTTTATTCCTTCTTCAATATTTTCGAGGGCATTTTGAAAGATCTTTTCGGAATATATATTAAATAACAGTGGAGAAAGTACACAGCCCTGACGAACTCCTCTTTTTATTGGCAATTCTGCTGTCAGACGATTGTCTATTTTGATCGACACCATTTAATCCCAATATAGTTTTTAATAAGTGCTACAGTGTTATGGTCTATACCATGTTGTGTTTTACTCGATCAAACGCTTTTTCGTAGTCGATAAAACAGAGAAACACGTCTTTTCGCTGATCTCGGTATTTTTGTAGTAATATCTGGAGGCCAAATAATGCCTTCCTTGTAACAAGCCCCATACGAAATTAAAATTGATTGTCGCTCAGGTTTCTTTCGCATTCTCTGTATATTTGTTGATGTACAATTTTGAGTAAAATTTTCAGAAAATGGCTCATCAGGCTAATTAATCTGAACTGTGAGTATCTATTTGCTTTATTTTTCTTGGGTATAGGTATAAAAATGTCGATCTAAGCCAGTCTTTTGGGAAGATTCCAGTGGTATACATTTTGTTAAATAATAGTGTTAACGTCTGAAGATTTTCTTCATTGATAAGCTTTTATAGTCATAGATCATAAAAATCTTGTTATTGAGACATTTGTTTATTTGCTCAAATAACTTTAAGTAATCTATAAAGTACAGAACTACTTGATTTGTAAATAAGATATTAAAAACTACTTTTTAATTAAATCATTTCCCTTCTGGTCCAATCTTCCAGTCCAATCATAACAATCATTCAAATTTATATCACTACCTTGTTCTAAACAATTCCTTCCTCTTAAATCTGCTAAAGATTACATTTTTATTCTATTTATTATCTATTTTAACTTCTTTATTCATTAATAAGCTCATTATTCATTACGTTTTTTTTATTTTTGCGATAACCACTAAGGAGTCGTTTCTGCATTAAAGTATCGGAATGTCAAGTTGTTTCGAAATTGATTGAAATCCCCTTGTATTTCACAATAAAGTGTAACTAATAACAGACCAAAACATAAAATTTGAAGGTTTCAAAGTACGAAAATAAAAATTCGTGCTTAGGATTAGTCACTAAACATTAGATTATTTAACAGCCATGTCAACCAAACGGTATTGTCATTAATTTAGCAACAGTCATTGATTAAGGCATGACCTACTTAGAATTTTTTGTCACTATCTATGTAACTTCGAAAATGGAAACGAGAACATAATTGTAGATAGACCAGTCAACAGATTTTGTAATAAAAATTAACTTTTTGCATAGTTATTATTGTTAACTAAAATTAATGATTATCAGAGATGTTTAAAAAATATCAAAGCAAAGTTTAGAAAACACTATTATTTATTGGAAGAGAAGAGTACTATGTTGGACAGAGTATTACAAAGTTTGGAAAGGATGTGAGACAAAATTGAAGGACATCCAGTTTTTTGGTAGTTCTCTATCACAGAAGAATAAACCGAACGACTAGATTTGATGCGTCGTTAATGTTCTTTAATAAGTGGTTGTCGGATTTGTTATGCGACATACACTCAACAAAAGGTGGCACTGAATCTTGAGATGCATTATCTTTTGCACCTTTTCTCCATGGCCGTCTCGGTCTATCTCGTTTTCTTCTAGTGGCCGGAGTCCATTTTTTTATCTTTTTTGGCCATCTATTTTCAGGAATTTAACTTTCAAGTCTAGTGAGCTGGCAACAACATTTCCATGACCTTAATTTCTTCTTTTATTATTCTTGTATTACCTTAAATTCTTCTTTTATTTTTTGTTTAGTTATTTTATGTAAGAATATATGTGTTTGTTACTCTCTGCTTTTGAAGTTATTTGGACTTCAAAGTATTTGAAGGGTTCAGTTGATTTTATAGTTCCCATTTCAATTTGTGGGCTTTTTAACATATCGTCCATATTACTCTCGTTTTCAGCTAGAATGGCTTGCAGATATTACAGTACTTTCTTCTCCTCAGAGAACCGCCTTATTTAGATATATTTTGAAGAATGCGTAGGTTCTATAGTGCTAGTACTTTTTTTTTGAACCTATTCTCTATCCTTCCATTGTTGGATATAGGTCTCCCCAAGTTCTCTCCATCTTTCCCTATCTTGAGCTGTTCTCTGCCATGTGGGACCACCTTTTTTCCTGATGTCATCTTTCCACCTCATCTGCGGTCTGCCTCTTGATCTCTTTGCAATGTATGGACGCCACTTTCCGATGGCATTGTTCCATCGTCCGTCTTGGAGACGTTCATTGTGTCCAGCCCATTTCAGTTGCTGCTTGTTCTATCGCGTCTACTGTCTTTGTTCTGGTTCTGATCCACTGGTTACGTTTTCTATCTTTAAGTGATATACTCAACATTTGTCTCTCCATCGCTCTTTGTGCCTTCCTTATCCTATCCAAATTGGCCTATGTAAATGTCCATGTCTGTGCTCCGTAGGTGAGCACAGGTATTATACAAGAGTTATATACCTTGCTTCGTAAGTATAGAGGGATTGTTTGATTTTTTAGAACGTAAGAAAGTTTGCCAAACGCTGCCCATCCCACTCTTACTCGTCTCGATATTTCGGCCGTTTGATTTTCTCTGTTAGCTCTGATTGCTTGTCCTAGATAGATATACTCATTTACCTGTTCTATGTTTTCTGTTTGTATTTTTATTGCCTCGTGGTCTTCCGTGTTTGTACTCATTTACCTGTTCTATTTTTTATTGCCTCGTGGTCTTCCGTGTTTGTCATTACTTTTGTTTTGTTAAAGTTAATTTTTAGGCCTTACCCTAGTAAGGCTAGTGCTTACTAATAGGAATTTATTATGTTTATTTGTTTTCAGCTTTAAATGTTTACCGTCATATTTTTGTAAAGCAAATGCTTTAGAAACAATATGCTATCTATACATGACCTACCTGCATGAAAGACTTTTTTTTCTTCTACATCTGTCATCACTTTTTCAATTTTATTTTTTTTTATTTTTTTGATGCGTATCATTTTTTTTTATTGTAAGGAAAGTACAGCATAGGGGGAAGACGAGCTACTTTCATAATTGTACAATACTGAGACTGTACATTCAGCAAATATTCGAAGAAGAGAAAGGAACAGGAAGGAGTAGAAAGACGCTTTAGAATCTTGAAAGTGAATTTATAACACTTCTAGTTTGAACAATTCTTTCTATTTCATTTTTTGTAGATGTTGTTAATATGTGCTTTTGTCCACTCCGTTATGCCCTTTATAGAATAAGGTAAAAACATACGGTAGGAATTCCAGCAATACTTATGGGCTGTGCCTTGTATGGTGACTTGGTGATTTTTTATCCTGAGTTGCAGTCTCGTTTCAGCCAGAAGTAGTGAGTAATGTTCGATCCAAAATCTTTCTTCTATTAAATTTATTCTACTACCTTCTTTTCTGTTTGTTCTCCGGTCTTTTACCGTTTGTCATGCTTCTCTTGATCTTGTTGACCCTACATATTTGTTGAGCTCTTCGCATTTACTTTTTGCTTAAGTTACTAGATTGTTTACGTCTCTTTTTGATCGTGCGCATGTTCGTCTATCATCTAGGTCGTTTGTTTGCAGTCATTTTGATATGCATTTTTTTCGTTGTGTACTGCATTAACGATTTGTCCACCAAACTTTAATGAAGTATCCTTTTTGTTAATCTTTGGCTAAGCCGTAATTTATATAAAAATGAGGTGTGTTTGTTGTTTCGTGATAACATAATCTTTAATTGACTTAGTGTTTCCCGTTGGTTGGACCCAATATGTATATTTTTGTGTTGGTAAATATTGTTTTATTCTAAAGAGATATAGAACAAACCATTAAATTAAATGCTCTTCCATAAGTAGAGCATCAGCGTGAAGAAAAAACAAAATGAGAACATACAGTGATATTACAAGCAGAAAAGATGTTAATACTGAGAAAAAATCACAAAAAGAAACTTCAGGTATGAAGTATTGCTACAGTAAATTCGGAATAGTTTTAATAAAATGGATGACAGAACCCTTAACCTTAGAGAAAAACTTGTACAACGAGCGATAAAAGAAAAATGACCAACCAACCTCGCATTATGCAATGAAACTCCAGGGCTCCAAAATCACGAATAGGAATAGCAGACAGTTATTGACCTGGAAAAAATAGATTTGTGTCTCATCTTAGAAACACATGTTACTAGACAATCATATATCAGATTCCGAGGATATAAAATATACATTACAATATACCCACATAGTACAGTAAAAGGCGGTAATGCTATTGGGCACTAATACAGCTTTTGGATAATTGACAGCATGGTTTCAGGTCACAGCTGTCAACGTAGCCATGAAAATGACCATAACCGAAATTTAAACAGACTAATATTTGCCATGTTGGTCAATAACCAAAATCTAGAAGACACTTAGGTGAAGTTAGGTGAAGTTAGCTAAAGGACCTGTTGCATTCGACTACAGAAATTCTGAAAATGCTTCTAAAAAACTGGTTTCTACAACTTTTACAAGACAATATAGTAATAATAGATCACGAAAACTTTAGAAGATACTAGTTGATACCGTAAAACGAATTCGGAGACTTTCATTCCACGAATATTTTTGAGATAACTTTAAAAAATCTTCAATATGAATTCAGCCTGTTTCCAGCAGAGCAATAATTACTTAAAGTTAGTGAGTAGGAACACGCGTAAAAGTAAAAATGTTTCCTGGGAAATTAATGATATGGGAGCTGGGATTTCACGAGTATTATTTATATCACTACCGAACTATTTTGAACCAATATTTTGTTTAAATAGTCCACATTTTGAATCTTGATAATCCACAATCACAAAATAGAAGGCTCGTTGCCATACTTCCAGATCTGTCTTACAGACAACTAATTAAACATTAACAAGTAATACAAGTAACTGTTTTGGACGTGAAATTAAATATTCTACTCAAAGTAATTATTAACTACCTATAATTTTTTAATTCAAAATACATCGTACACATACTACAGTTAGTGAAATCTAAATACAAGTGCTCACCTCCCGGAGGTTTTGGCGCAGTATAACTCTTCAAAGGTATCTTACTCGGCCGTCTCGTTCTCGAACTGTCCTTCTTCTCCTTCTCCGTAGACTGGTCGTGCGCAGATTCCGTGCTACTCGAATGATCTGTTTGAAGGTTCAGAGTCATCGCTTTCATGCTGTTCATGATAAGGGGACTCATGGCCTTCATACTTGGTGTGGATATTTCAGTGCGGGAAGGCGGTCGACCAGGAGGTGTTGACTCTAAATTTGGAATGATATCAGGTGAGCTGCTTTTCGTTAAAGGTTTTTGGAGATCTTCTAGGAGACGAATTCGTGCTCTGGTGCCTTCTAGTTCAATTGTTTTGTCTTCCAACTGAAAAAAAAACAGTAAGTTATCTGTTTGAGTATCAAAAATTGAGGTAAATGCTTAGGATTTGAAAATTATAAATAAGCAGAGTATATATAGTAAATAATTAGTACAAATGAGTTATTAAAAACAGTTCTGAAAAAGTTGCAAAATATTTAAATTTAAGCTGTATCAGATCTTGCTCGTATCATTGTCGAATCACCTCCACAGCAATTTAGACGGTGTTCATTATTCTGGCTTTTGATTGTAAACCTTATTCCGAGTCATAGTGTGACAATTGGTTCATTGTGTCCAACCCAGTGGATTCTCGCTATTTTCACTTCTGCTACGATCATTGAATAACCATCGAGAGTCTTTGGCACTTATTCTTGTCCATTTTCGCAGAATGGCCGAAAGATGCGATATAGTAGTTTACTCTTTAAAGTGTTACAGATGGTTTCACTCTTCATGGTCCCTTAATATTGTTCTATTTTCTTGTGAAATCTAGATGCAATTACTATATTTTTGACGTTTTGATTTCCACTTCTGAAATCGTTCACAAAATACAAAACATTAATAAATGAAACAAATTTTGTTTGTTGTCACTTAGTGGAAAATTTTATCTGATTCATTCATATTGGCAATTCAGACATAATATATTATACATTTTAAACTTTAAAATGAAATGAAGTCAACTTTAACTTAAGAATGCCCGTCAGAAAAAATCATAGCATGTCATTCGTTTTTAAAAAGACAACCACATGCATTGATGACAGTAAAATTCTCCTGTTAGTGATTCCATACTAAATCATGAGGAAAAAACCAGGAAAAACGTCATGATACATAACTAAAGGCTGTAAATACTTTGGAACCCGCTACTGAACATAGAAGATCAAATAGGTAGATGGAGAGAATACGTGGAAGAGATGTTTCAAGACCGAGAGAGGACGAATATTTACATGCAGGAGGCATCGACTGGACCTTATATCACAAAGCAAGAAATTATCAAAGCGGCAAATCAGATAAAGAACGAAGAAGCTGTTGGGGAAGATAATATCCCAATTGAAATAATAAAGATATTACTAGACGAACACATCGAAGTAATGGAAAATATATTTAACAAAATATACGAAACAGGCATAATACCAAATGATTGGCTGACATCAATGTTTATACCACTACCAAAGAAGAAAAACTCCTTCAACTTATGTTGAAGCTTTTCCTACGAGTAATGCACAATAGAGTATAGACTAGACGAACACACTGGTCAAGCTCAGTTTGGTTTTAAGAATGGGTTCGAAACAAGAGAAGCACTTTTTTCAATACGTGTGCTAGTTGAAAGATGTAGAGATGTCGATTCTGATGTATACTTGTGTTTTATAGACTTTCAGAAGGCGTTTCACCTGGTGAAACATGATAAACTAATACATATTTTAAGGTCATGTAATATCGACGATAAAGATTTAAGGATCATTTCAAACCTCTACCAAGAACAAAAGGCTAAAATCAGAATAAAAAGCGAAACATGTGGAAAAATCAATATCGAGAAGGGAGTAAGACAGGGATGTGTCCTATCACCTTTGCTGTTCAATGTTTACTCTGAGAAGATATTTCAGAAAGCTTTGTAAGGCATCTCGGATGGTATAATTATAAACGGGCAATGTATAAATAACCTGCGATATGCTGATGACACTGTCATACTGGCAGATAATGCTGAAGCCCTGCAACGCTTAATGGACCGAGTAACGACAGCCTGTAGAGAATTTGGAATGAAGTTGAATACAAAGAAGACAAAAACGATGGTCATCAGCAAGCACCAAAACAGAAGGGTGAAGGTCAATGTCGACGGAACAGATCTGGAAAGAGTAACAAGAACAACGTACCTTGGAAGTAATCTTGATGAAACTTGGGACCACTCACTAGAGATAAGAATACGCCTGGAAAAGGCACGTACAATGTTTTACAAAATGCAAAGAGTTCTATGCAACCACCAGCTGGGCATCTCCTTGAGAAATAGAATACTTAAGTGCTATGTTTTCTCCACCTTGCTTTATGGTGTTGAAGCCTGGACAATGACAGAAGCAGCACAAAAAAGAATCCAAGCATTCGAACTCTGGTGTTACCGTAAACTGCTCAGAATATCCTACATGAGCCATACGACAAATGCGGAAGTCTTGCGGAGGATGAATAAGGAAAGAGAGCTTATGCTCATAATAAAAGAACAGAAAACACAATATTTTGGTCACATCATAAGAAATCAAAAGTATGAACTGCTCCAACTTATAAACGAAGGCAAAGTCAATAGCAAAAGAGGACCAGGAAGAAGACGCAACTCTTGGCTTAAAAATCTACGGCAATGGACGAACATGACCTCCATAGAACTATTCAGGGCTGCTACAAATAAAATTAAATGGGCAAATGTAATGGCCAACGTCCTTAAGGATAAGGCACCGTAAGAAGAAGTAAAAACTTAAAAAAAATAACATGTTTCAAACATCAAATTACAACACTTATTTCAGTTAGAGTAGCTAAAAAATAGTTTAAAAAATTAATTTTATTTTGACAATAAGACCTTTTGCACGAACTCAGTGGAAATAAGTCGTTTTGCATGTAAAATGTTGAGGACAAGATGATTTGCATGTAAGTAAAATAAAAACAAAATAAAGTAAAGGAATAATGGTTTTCTGAATGAACTTTTATTTTTGTAAAATAGTAATATAGGCCTTACCTAAGTGACAAACATTGTCATAATAGGTAGGTAATGCAACAAACAATTTTTTAAATATGAAAGCCACAGCGCTCATCATCGAGACAGTCACTCATTACTTTCTGCTCATCACCAGCAGCTACTGTAGTGGGTTCATCAAAAATCAAATTTTTGTACCAACCAAGGCGTGGGTCAGAAAAACATTTTTTTCAAAAGTTTGTAAATATCATAAAAGACTCATTTCCTTCATACTTGTAGTTTTTCAAGCCTTTTACCAACACGATATTTTTGTAAGCCTTTCCTTTTCCCATTTTCCGGAGTTGTTCAATTTCTTCTTGTGCTCGGTAGCATATATCAATTCTCTTCAGTTCACTAATTGATTGGATGTCCTTATAGTATTTACTTGGTTTATGGAATACCATGATACCTAGACTGTAGGTATCATGGTATTCCTATTAAATAAATATTATGGGTTTTTTTATTAGGAAGCCACTGTTAGAATACATGAAGAGAATTCTAGATCCTTTGAAATAAAGGATGGACTCAGACAAGGGGATGCTCTGACTTGCCTCTTATTTAATATTGCCTTAGAAAAGGCAGTCCGAGATACACGAATTACTGATGGCGGTACTATTTACAATAGATCGATACAAGTCTTAGCATATGCTGATGATATTGACATAATAGGGCGTAGCAAGCGAGATGTTGAGCAATATCTCCTAGAATTGGAAACAGCGGCGAAACAGGTCGGTCTAGTCATCAACGAAGACAAAACCATGTACATGTTGGTTACAAAGGATCCGATAGCAAATGAGGAACGAGAAACAGTCTTTGGAAGTCATACCTTTGGACGTGTTGACAACTTCACATACCTTGGGTCGCTATTGACTGCTACCAATAAAACAAGCGAAGAAATCAAAAGACGAATAAATCTTACAAATAGAGCATACTATGGACTCAAAAGCACTTCCACTCAAGAAACATTCAAAGAAGAACTAAAATTATTATATACAAAACATTGCTGAGGCCGGTCCTCACATATGGAGCAGAAACATGGACTCTAACGCAGAAAGATGAACAACTTTTGGGAATATTTGAGCGTAAAATACTCCGCAAAATATTTGGAGCTATAAACGACCAAGAGCAGTGGCGCAGAAGATATAATTTTGAATTGTATCAGCTCTTTGATGAGCCAGATGCCATAACGTTCATTAAAACACAGCGACTTAGATGGGCTGGACACATAATACGAATGCCAGAAAATACGATTGCTAAAAAGCTAACCACAGGAACACCTGTAGGAAGAAGAAGCAAAAGCCTACCGCGAATTAGGTGGTTAGATGGAGTTGAAACCGACTTACGGATATTAAAAATCAGAAGATGGCAACATATTGCCAAAAACCGAACAGAATGGCGACGAATCTTAGAGCAGGCCAAGATCCACAGATGATGATGATGATGATGGTGTTTTTTTGCAACTGCTTTTTGTCCTTTCAAAAACACGGTCGGCGGGTAAAAAACCATCTCCGCATACAGCGAAATACAATAAAATTCTTTGGATTGATGTTTTGTGTGTTTCTAAAAAATGAATCAGTGTTCTCAGGACAATAGATATTATATTTATTCTAAAAAATCAGCTTCTTTCAAATAGTTAAAGAGAGCGATGATATTTCCACACTTTTCCTGCCTGCTTCTCTGTCCAAGTGTAGAACATTATAGTCTTTAGATCAGTAATACAAAAGGTATAAAACCCACGTTGTCTCGTTTAATAAGCTTCTTGAACTGGACTTTTCGTTTGTGGCTGAATTTGTTGAAGAAAGATCAAAGCAAAGGATAACAAAATGAGAAACATCCTTTTCCATGCACTCATTAAACGCCTTTGCGCTTTTTGAGTGAATCCGCTTTTCGACCATTAGATGTACCAATTTTCGACCAATATAGAAGTTTTAGCACCAGAGACAGTTGGAAAAAAGTATTGCATCGCGTATTTTCGCTCAGGTCTAGGTTTTTTCTTTTTGGTTTTTGTTTACCGACCTTGGCCTATGTCTTCTGATTTGTGTTGTAGGCAATTATATTGTCTTGTCTGTAGTGTCTGGAACTTTATAAAACTCTTCTTTGAACCCGTTGATGTAAATAGGCCTTATTTTTACGCACGTGAAACGTTTATTGTTGCGCTTAAACGGTACAAAAACTAGGGCTCTTTTAGGAGCTACATGCCTGGTAATTTGTTCACTTTTTTCCTCCTGTAACTCTTCTCTTTCTAGTCCCTTTATTTCCTTCACCAACACTTATACTTTCATATGTCCCATCCATTATCCTT